GTTACCAATAATTCGATGTCTTCTTCTAACGATGACGTTACTTCCTCCGCTGAGAGTGGGCTGCGCGACAGCATTTCTGGAATTATTAGCTCTTTACCTGGAACGTACTCTGCTACAGCGTTGAAACGGCGTAATCTTAGCAGTAAGCATTGACATCGGATTGGTGTTTGATTTAGGTTGGAGGAGTTCATCAACGGGATTAATAGTTTATGATCCGTGATTAATATGAACTGATCTAATCCGATTAGGTATCTCTATTGGTTTGAGCGCACCATCATTCTGTCGTTGAAAAAGAGCTCCACCATGCCATAGCTGCTTGCGTCTGCTGAAACCACCGTACGTTTGTTTGAATCGTAGAAGGCTAGTGCTGGTGTTGATGTGAGCATTTCTTTTACCTTTTCCAACGCAGCTTGCTGTTGAGGTCCCCAGAACCACACGACGTCTGACTTCAAAAGTTCTGTCATTGGGCTGATTGTGTGCGAAAGATTGTCCAGAAATCTACCCAAATAGTTTATGGAGCCTAGTAAACGCCTTAATTCGGTAACGTCTTTTGGAGGTGGGAGTTCACTGATAGCTTTCACTTTATTTGGATTTGGACTGACACCGCTCGAGTTGATATGACCAAAGTAAGTTATTTCAGGTTTTCTAATTTGACACTTCTCTCTGTTTAACCGCACACCAGCTTGTGAGAGTTTATCGAAAACTTGGTTTAAACGAGTGTCATGTTCCTCATTATCTCTTCCAAAAATTATGATGTCGTCCATACACACTGCTGCGCCGATCTAGTCATTTCAGTCATTTTCCGTTGAAAGATTTCCGGTGCAGACGTTATACCAAATGGCAATCGTTTGAAACGAAACCGACCAAGTGGTGTAATGAACGTTATCAGTTTGGAACTTTTTTCTTCCAAGGGTAGCTGGTGAAAACCATGGGCAGCATCTAATGCACTAAAGACAGTGCAACCAACTAGTTTTGGAGCAACATCTTCTAAATTTGGTAGTATGTATTTCTCTCTCTTGACGGACTGGTTTAACTTTTTCAGGTCAACGCAGATTCGGACTTGACCTTTTTGATGACAGGAACCATCGGACTACACCACTCTGTTGGCACTGTTATGCGTTCAATTATGTCTTCAGACTGCATACGATTAAGTTCTGCTTCGACCTTTGGCAGCAACGGGAAAGACACACGTCGAGCAGTTGGTAAATTAAATGGAATTGCGTCATCCCAAAGTACTATCTTAACTGGTTCACAGTTTCTGTGTCCACCAGTGTTGAATATTCGTGTGTTTATTTCATATACACGTTTCACTAAATCCAAAGATTCGATAAGGTTTCGGCCCAGCAAATTACTGACATTTCCACGAATGACAGGAAATGTTAAATTTTCTCCTTTATAGCACACTATCGTTTGAAATTGTCCCACTGAAACCAATTGGCCACCAGGACTATAAAGTCTTGCTTTGGAAACTTCAACAGATAACAGATAATCTAACCAAACCAAACCAACGACTACCATTCGACTACTAATCAACAAGAAATACTATGAATAGAACGAATTTGGAAGAATGAAGGAGATCGAGTAACTCACGCCACACCATCCAGGGCCGAGTTTCACTGCCATGTCATTCGACCCGACCAGATCTAACGAAGAATCAACAACCAAACCAACAACACAGAATCATCCAATTTGAACCAATCCAACTACCACCTACTACGAATACCTAGTTTGCGATATCAGCATCCGCTGGAAGCGAACGTTAACTTGTCATCTACCTACCTACTTCGAGGTTGGGTTTAACGTTTAGAGCGTTATAGCACTGTTCAGAAATAATCGAAGTATCAGCTCCAGTGTCGATTTTGAAAGTTATTACCGTTTTTCCCATCTCTAATTGAATCGTCCATTTTGAAGTCGAATCACACTCCGAACTACATATGGATCCGAGCAAAAATGTCTGATGGGTTTCTTCTGTATCTGAGATTACTTCTTCAAAGTGTTTACCGCTGGCACTACGACAGCGTTTCCTAAAGTGATTGTAGCGATTGCATCCATGACATCGCCTACCTCTAGCAGGACATCTATTATTTCCATGTTGTGAACCACAATTATTACATACCCTACTGCGTGAGAATTGAGGTTTGTTTCAGTACGAATTTTCCGAAGCTGACGGAGGTCTTTTGTTTTGTGGTTTTCTTCGATACACTTCTTCTACCACTGAACTGGTTGCACCATTAGTCGCACCATTCTCCTGGACCTTGACTTGACTTTTAGTTAGCTCGGACTGTCTCACCATTTGAGTAGCAGTGTCGAGATCGGCTTCTTCAAGTTGAAGTCGTTCAGACAAGTCCTTATCCAGGATTCCGACCACTAAGCTGTCTCTGATATTTTCTTTCTTTTGCTCCTGTCCGTAGTTACACCTCTCAGCCATCTCATACAAGTGTCTGACGAAGGTTTCGGTAGATTCTTGTTGTTTTGAAGAGTTAAATACGGCTCTTTCGTGTATGTGATTCAGCTTTGGGATAAAATGAGCTTCGAATTTCTGCAAAACAGTATCAAAGTCTTCGTCCCTCTCCCCGGCAGCAAAAGTGAAGGAACTGAAGGTATTCTCCGCTTCATTCCCCATGGCATATATCAGAGAACTGACCTGTATAGCACCTTCCTCGACACCGAGTTTAATAGATGTTCGATACCTCAAAAATCTTCTTTTCCATTGTGGCCAATCTGTTTGATAAAGTTGAACTGCTCCGGTGGGTTGAATTTTGGCATCTTTCATGAATTTCGATAGAAAATATTACGAACAGATCTCCAATTATAACTCACGTTGATTCTAAAGTTTTGGCACTTCTGACACCATGATATGATTGTATGATTGACAAGTCATAAGGAAGTTAAGGTTTAATCAGAACAGCAACTTAGATACAATAGGTATGAATACAAAAGNGTGGACTGCCATGGGTGTGCACAAGCACGGGATAAAATGGCTTACGTAGGTAAGGGGAATCAGTCAGAGTTTATGTATGATTCAGACAACAAGT